TAAAAAGTTGAAAACCAGCCAAAACATATAGAACCAAGATAAATGATTTCAGAGTTTAATTCGGTTTCAAAGTCTTAAATTTTTGACTGCAAAGCAAACCAGTAATTGGTGTGCTTCTGTTAGTCATTTTGTACACACCTAGAGCAAGAAATGCCTTGACTCTGCAATGTGAACTTTTACAGCACACGCGTTTTGTGATACCAAAAAAGTTATTGAATCAAGTAGCAGCTCTTGATCTAGTGGAACATTTTCCCTCTTGTCAAAAAAATATGACTGTTGCCTTTCAAACGAGGGACTAAATTTTTTTTCTTTTTCTTTTGTGACTAAAAACTAAATTCAAGAAAAGGTGTCTTGCAGCTGTAAGATGCATCCAGATGAAAATACTAATGACTGAAATTGATATATAACTGACTATATTAACATAACATGCCAGTGAAGCAAAAATCAAACTATGGATTAAATTAAACCAACTCTATCTAACAACTACTAAAAACTACACCTTTCGAGACAATAAATAAGCTGAGGACTACACTTATATGGAGATGCTTAAAAAGACCTATGATAACTTGGAAAAGCAGTGTATTTTCTCCACTGAATGCAATGAGTTCTCTCTTCCAAAAACTTCTTCCTTCATCTAATTCATCTGTCAAAGTTTTCTTATTCATCATAGTTTTATTCTTGTACCATAATGCTGCTGCTGTGACACTACCCGAAAACGAAACGATTCCAGCAGTGATTGTTTTTGGAGATTCAATTGTGGATCCTGGCAACAACAACAATATCAGAACTATAGTCAAATGCAATTTCCCACCATATGGGAGGGACTTCACAGGGAGAAAGCCTACTGGAAGGTTTAGCAATGGAAGAGTCCCCTCAGACTTGATAGGTAACCTCAACACTCTTTGAGGGTTATAAGATTTTTCTGCATTCACACTACTACTGTTGCTACTATAGTCTTTAGTAATCAACAAGAACAAAAGGTCTGACCTGAATTTTTCAGCTCAATCAACAACTGTAAAAAGGTTAACTCTTTGCAAATTTTCAGCTGAATCAGTTGGAGTGAAGAACATTTTGCCAGCTTATCTGGATCCAAGTCTGAAGGTTCAAGACCTACTTACTGGTGTAAGTTTTGCCTCAGGGGGTACAGGATATGATCCTCTGACTCCCCAAGTAGTGGTATATATCTCTATCTTCCCCTCTTTTCTATTTAGCATTCTTATATATCCTTGATTTATTTTAATTCTATTTCTATCAGTCTGTCTTATCATTATCAGATCAACTAGACCTGTTCAAAAAATACCTAAGCAAGATAAATGCAGCAGTCGGGGAGGCGAGAACCGCGACTATACTATCAAAAAGCATATACATTGTGTGCTTAGGAAGCGATGACATTGCAAACACTTATTATTCTACACCACTGAGGAGACCTCAATATGACATTCCAGCATATACAGATCTGATGATTAAATCAGCTTCAAGTTTCTTTCAGGTAAAAGTCGAACGACTGCAAATGCGAGCACTAGAAAAGAAATAGTTTTGGTGCTCATGCTTTGCCACTATGTAGGCAGAGACTAAATTTGCAATGGCCTGCATCCTGAGATACACATAAAATTAAGCCTGCAGGATTCAGAACTAACCAGCCACTATAGAAGAGGAATAATTTCCAATCTGCCTCATATGTTATCGTCCCATGTAAAAAACAAGCAATCTGGTTCCCCAAGTAACCTAAAATCAAGCACAAATCCATTTAAAAAAAGTGTGACATTAACTAGTACTTTGTTATTTATGTTAATGTGGGGAGATAAAATGGGACTGCAGGAACTATATGACCTGGGAGCTAGAAGGATTGGCATACTAAGCTTGCCAGCAATTGGGTGTGTGCCATCACAAAGAACGCTGAATGGAGGCATAGACAGGGGGTGCTCAGACAACGCCAACCAAGCAGCAAGCCTCTTCAACTCCAAACTCACTGCCCAAATAGATGCCTTCAACAAGAGGCTTCCAGAAGCAAGGCTTGTCTACCTTGATATCTACAACATATTGCTTTCTCTCATCCAAAAACCTTCTCAATATGGTAAATCATCATCTTGCTGCTAAATTTTTGGCTCATTCCAACTTCACAACCTGATCGCAAATGCAGGTTAGGTCAGTTGGCCAAGGCACTGTGTCCGCCCCATTGCATCCAAGTTTGAACTCCCTTCCCGTAATAATCAAGAATATCTCCCTTGTAAAAATTAAAATAAAAAAAATAAAAACATAAAAACTTCAAAACCTGAACAAATTCTTTTAAGTAATACAACATGACCCACTATTACAATCAGACTTCACTTCTGTGTTTTTATTTTTATATCCTTTCTATCTTTCTGATAAATGATTCTGTACAAAAGAGTGGTAAATTATGTTCAAAACTCAGATGCCACAATTGCATATTTCAACATTATGTGTTGATCTGAATTTTTTTTTTTTTTTTATGGGTTCAGGATTGGAAGTGGTGAACAAAGGCTGCTGTGGAACAGGAAATATTGAGGTCAGCATTTTGTGTACTCGTTACTCTACAGGTACCTGCAAGGATCCATCAAAATATCTATTCTGGGACAGTTACCATCCCACAGAGAAGGCATATAAGGTTCTTGTCCCTCTGGTTTTTGATAAGCAAGTTCATAAATTCTTCTGAGGCTTCTCTCTCTCTCTCTCTCTCTCTCTCTCTCTCTCCTCTCAACAATCAATAAATTGTGAAGCCAGATTAATTTGTTGCAGTTCCCTTCTTTCTTCCTTTTTATCGTCCCAGGTGTTTTGCTTTTCATGTAAGCTGAACCCAATTTGGTAGAAACTTATGTAGTATTATATTGTGTGTTCCATGCAATGCAGGAACTGTTATTTAATGTATGCATTCTGTTCTGAACCATGAACAAGTAGATTTTGTTACATTAAATATGTTCTGCTCTAACATTGGTTGAGGATGAACAAGAACTTTTAACCTATTTTCACCCACCAATGTGACATAAATGTAAATATAACTAAATTAGTACAATTGAGAATAAATTGTTAATTTGTGTAAAATTGACAAGGGGTTTGTAACTCGAACAATTCATTCATGTACCGAAGCAATGTGCTCCAATTTCATTTTTTCGAGAAAGCTAAGTGTCGTATCATAATAACGACTAGACCAACAACCTATAATAACCAAGTACATATTTAGTTATTTACCTTGGTTTATAAAAGAAAACCATAATAATGCAATCCTAATTTCGTGTGGCATAGTGTCCTAAGTTTTGTTAAGGCATGCCGCCAAAGTTGGTGCTTCTTAAACCCGTTTCCTGTTTAAGTTTGGATGACTGGTCCTGTCTTCGAATATTAGTTGGAGTTGAATGCCATGTCATGTCATTGAAAAGCATTCAAAACCATTTTAGTCCAGGCCTGCATATCTTTGATGAGATACCAGCTTGCATTGTTGACATCCTGGCTGCTGATTCTAGGGGTGACTCCAGGCCTCGTCTGCTCTGCTCTAGTTAGCTGGCTTGTGTTTTTGGCCGTTAGCCCCCTCTGTTACCAAAAAAAAAAAAAGCATTCAAAACCCAAAATACTGAGTCTGCTGTCGTCAGTTCTTGTTTTCTGGTAACCTTAAATAATTAAGCTGCACTCTTTAGTTTTCAAAAACAATGCATCATGATGAAGAGTGCAGGGCAGAATTGTCTTTGGATTTTATAGATACTTGGAAAGTTCTTTGGACATGTGACCAGGAAAAACAAAGCAAAGGTTATTGACTGGATCCACTGAGTTGTAAATTTGTAAAAAGATCTAAAAAACGACACACAGTTTGAATCCTTATAGATCTCAGGGTTGCCTCCTTCCATTCCATTCATTTCTACAAGTTCTGCATATGATCTGTTGGGTCACCGACATAGCTCAGATAATTGAGCTTTGGCCATTTGAGGTTGAAGAAAGTGACAGACCAGAAAGGTTATGTCAACCATAGTGCGTTTGACATATGGTAAACTGTGTAGTTGGATATTTAATCAACCATTTATGGGCAAGCTTGCAATTTAACGTACGTGTGACTGTAATGTATGCCTAGTTGGTTACCTTGTACATCTTCTCTTGTATCTTCAAGATATTGCATGCATTATTAACATGTTTTCACATCTCATGATTCATTTGCTTGCCCTAACCTTTCATATATTACTTGTCAAAAGTGATCAATTGAAGTTGTATATTTAATATGCAAAATGCATGGATAGAACGTGGAAAAGGGCCTTCAATTGATATCAGTGGTCTCGGGTTTGAACCTCATGATACATTGGTAGTGTGTGTGAGGAATCCCCCAATTAAAGTTGTATATTTAATATGCAAAAAGCATGGATAGAACCATAATTTCAATGTAGAAAAGGGCCTTGATACATTGATAGTGTGTGTGAGAAAACATCCCCCTCCTAACTTTGGCACAAAAGAAAAACCATAGTTTTTTTTTTTTTTTCAAAATTAAAAATAAATAAAAAAACAACCATAGTTTCAAAGTAGGTTGTAGGCTTTTAAGCTAGAAGTATATTTAGAGATTTAGAGTATGTTTGGGAATGCTTCTGGGAGAGCTAAAAACATTTCTGATTGCATTTGGCATAAAATGTTAGAAGTACTTCTAGATCGTGAAAGCACTTTCTAAAGAAGCATATGCTAAAGCACTTGAATTTCTTATGAAAAGTTCAACTTCTTTATAATAAAAGCACTTTTGAAGCGATCATGAGCAGAGATTCTTCTAGAGAAGCAGTCCCAAACAAGCCATTTATTTTTATTTTTATTTTTTATACAGTCAAATTCATTTACGTCTCGCCACATAACTTAAATTTTTCATTGCAAATGAGATAATCAAGAACAGACATATGTTAGCTCTTTTTTTTTCAAAGATTTCTTCTTTTTGTTTTTGTTTTCTAATTTTTTTTTAATTAAGAAAAGTTGCTCATTTTTAGTTTTACATGGGCCATAGATATCAGACGAAGACCAAAGTCAAAAATCCAATCCAAAACCAACTATAGCCCAAGCCATTCATACGATTCAATCCAAGTTTGGCTCTTCGCCATGGCCGCAGACCTCTCTGCTCAATCTCAGACCCTCCTCCTATCCACAACCACCACCACTCCCCAACGTTCACATCCCAGAACCACCTCCTTCTTGCCCTTCTTCTCACTCTCTCACTCTAAACCTCTCCTTCATCTCTCCAGAACCTCCTCCAGGCCTCGGCAAAGACTCCAAGTGCTCTGTCAAGCCACTGGAACCCAACCCATTTCCCAGCTCGGCCATGACCGTCTTTCCAAGGTACCCATTTCCCGTATCAGGAACTTCTGCATAATTGCACATATTGACCATGGCAAGTCGACTTTGGCTGACAAGTTGCTGGAGACGACTGGGACTGTTCAGAAGCGCGAAATGAAGGAGCAGTTTCTTGACAACATGGACTTGGAGAGAGAAAGAGGCATCACCATCAAGCTACAGATTGCTCGGATGCGTTATAGTTTCAAAAATGGTGAGCCATATTGTTTGAATCTCATTGACACTCCTGGGCATGTCGATTTTTCTTATGAGGTGTCTAGGTCTCTTGCTGCTTGTGAAGGTGCTCTTCTTGTTGTTGATGCTTCACAGGGAGTTGAAGCTCAAACCTTGGCCAATGTTTACTTGGCCTTGGAAAACAACTTGGAGATCATCCCTGTTTTGAACAAAATAGACCTTCCAGGAGCTGACCCAGATAGTGTAATAAAGGAGATTGAAGAGGTTATTGGGCTGGATTGTAGCAATGCAATACTCTGTTCTGCCAAGGAGGGAATTGGGATATCTGAGATTCTTGATGCAATTGTTGAGAGGGTTCCTCCACCAGCTGATACCGCTGATAAACCATTGAGAGCTTTGATTTTTGATAGTTACTATGACCCATATAGGGGTGTAATTGTGTATTTTAGGGTAATTGATGGGAAGATAAAGAAGGGTGATAGGGTTTATTTTATGGCTAGTGGGAAGGACTATTTTGCTGATGAGATTGGGGTTTTGTCTCCCACTCAGTTTCAGGTTGGAGAACTTTATGCTGGTGAGGTGGGTTATCTTTCAGCTTCTATAAGATCAGTGGCTGATGCTAGAGTTGGGGACACAATCACAAACTACAGTAGAAAGGCAGAAAGTTCATTGCCTGGTTATGAGGAAGCCACTCCAATGGTGTTCTGTGGCATGTTTCCTGTGGATGCTGATCAGTTTCCTGAGTTGAGGGATGCACTTGAGAAACTGCAGCTTAATGATGCTGCTCTGAAGTTCGAGCCTGAGACTTCGAGCGCTATGGGTTTTGGATTTCGATGTGGATTCTTGGGGCTTCTCCACATGGAAATTGTTCAGGAAAGGTTGGAGAGAGAGTACAATCTAAGCCTGATAACTACTGCCCCGAGTGTTGTATATAAAGTGAACTGTGTAAACGGTGACATTGTTGAATGTTCAAACCCATCTGTACTTCCTGAACCTGGAAAAAGGAAGTCAATTGAGGAGCCTGTTGTCAAGATTGAGATGCTTACGCCAAAAGACTACATTGGTCCCCTTATGGAGCTGGCACAGGACAGAAGAGCAGTGTTTAAAGAAATGAAGTTTATTGCTGAGAATAGAGCGTCACTCACATATGAATTGCCCTTGGCTGAGATGGTAGGTGATTTTTTTGACCAGCTCAAGTCCAGAAGTAAAGGCTATGCTAGCATGGAATATACTTTTCTTGGGTACAAAGAAAGTGACCTAATAAGACTTGATATTCAAATTAATGGTGAACATGTAGAACCATTGGCAACCATTGTGCACAAGGACAAGGCATATGCTGTAGGGAGGGCTTTAACACAGAAGCTGAAGGAGCTCATACCAAGACAGATGTTTAAAGTGCCTATTCAAGCATGCATAGGTTCGAAAGTGATTGCTAGTGAAGCTTTATCAGCAATCAGAAAGGATGTTTTAGCCAAATGCTATGGTGGGGACATTTCAAGGAAAAAGAAGTTGCTTAAGAAGCAGGCTGAGGGAAAGAAAAGAATGAAGGCGATTGGGAAAGTCGACGTGCCTCAAGAAGCCTTCATGGCTGTGTTGAAACTTGAGAAGGAGGTATTATGATACTGCAAGTCTTTGTGGCTTCTAACATTGTTATGTAAATGATAAGTATTTTGGTTGAATATGAGGAGCTTGTGTAGCCATCTTTGTCGTTAAAGGTCAACGTATACGGTATAAATCCTATGTTGGTGTATTTGTCTGCTATGCTACCAAACAGCAAAGAACACAGCAGGACCAGACATGACCAATTTTTGCAATTAGTGCCTTTTTTCTTCCTTTTTGTTTCTTTGTTTCCGAACGATGAGTTTGGTTTGTGAAATACTCATAAGTTGTAAGGAAAGAAGGCATATTGGTTTACACGGATGCTGTGATCTATTATGGATTCAGGATTTGAAAGGGCGGATGGAGAGGATCCAAAGAAAATCATACAGAAATTCATAAAACAAAATAGTATTTATCAAAGCATTTTGCATAGTCAAATAGTAGAAAATAGAAATGATATTGCTGAGAAAACAACCAGCCATTGTTTCGAAACACATATAGGAAATATACAAGTAACCAGTTTTAAAAATTAAAAACTATCCCACAACCGTGATCTGAATTCTTTTACCTCCTAATTCAAAATATGAGGTTCCATTCCATATCTCCTAAACTGGCCCAAGCAACTCTACAAAACTGCTACTTCCTACCTGACCACGAAATTTATAGATACGGGAGATGAACTATATACATGTAGAAAACATGAGGCAACCAGCTTAAAGAAGTTTATTCTGAGCAACAGCCTGACATAATTCGTCCTCATAGAACAAAACTCGATTCGAAGCCAATGATTTGCAGAGGGGCTTTGGTAACACAGAAGGGACCATGCATCTTGAAGGGAAGTTTGACTCCTGGAAGAGAACTGCTGCAACCTGCCGCATTTCCGAGACTTTGAGGCGAGATGGTGGTCGGGGGCCATGCCTTGGTGCTTTTGGAGTATGGGGGCTTCGAATGAATATGCCTTTCCCATCTCCCTTGCTGCAAAAATCATGCAAAACTCGGTAAAATAAGAAACCTATCTGACTGGGTAAACAGTGATAAAAACACAGTTTAGTATCCCAACCTTAAAAAAGGCCAGTGCTCTGTAGGGTGGGGTGTCATTGTATTTAACATCTCCTGTCTAGAGCGATCTGGAGTTGTATAATTAAAATAGAACTGCCTTGCAAGTAAAACCTGTTTCCAATAGTATAAACATGGAAGGTCATTTCTATTCAGATTAAACTAAAACAAAAGGCAAACACATGAGAGAGAGAGAGAGAGAAAGAAAAAAAAAAGAAAGAAAAAAGAGGGAGAGGGGAGAGAGGGAGAGAGGGAGAGAGAGAGAGAGAGAGAGAGAGAGAGAGAGAGAGCTTACAGCTTTTCTAACTCGTTGAGAGACATGAAAAACTGCCTTCAGTTGGTCATGGTGCAAGTGACACAATACTTTAACCTTCAATTACAAAAATAGAGGAATCAATACAAGCAGAGGCATGTGATAACAACATGAAGTAAAATACATACACATATACATCTAAATTAATAGTGTTAACAGCACTTTTATACCCCAAAACAGTAATATCTTTAATTCTTACACACATGATTATTTGGCTATATCTCATCAGTAATTGGTTTGATATATGATACGGCGGATTCTAATAAGAGTGTTAAAATGTTAAGTTCCCAGTGAAATTGGAAAGATTCAAATCCACGTTTGTAGGAGGGAATTAAAAATCAACCCCAACATCGAGTTTTATGTTGACACAGAAAAAACTGCACAGATTTGGTTCGAAAACATACATCAAACGAAGGAAACAAACGTAAAATCTATTACTTAAAAAGCAACAAAAGACGAAGGCAATTAGTTCTTTACAGCGTAGTCATAGATCAAAGGACCTAACATCTCTATTAGACTTCTTACAACGCTCGTCAAAAACCTTGAATTGGATCTTTAGACAGTTCAAGGCAACCTTGCATAACTAACCAGTATCCAAAGCAAACCAATTATGTGTGCAAAAAGAATCAATACCAACATAAAGGCAAAAAGTACCACAAACACTCTAAATCTCAGCTCATCTAAAAAACAATCACACCATACTATAAAGAACTATTGAGAAACCACGTACTAAAAGAAAAAGCTCCAACCTACTATCCTATATCGTCTCCCCTTATTGATTGTTTTGCCTCAATCAGATATACAAATTGAAGAGCGGCAAAACAAGAAATTGGCAAATCCAAGTAAACACAAATAAATCACAAAACAACCATCCTCTCTGACAGCCAGATTTTCAGAAAATATCATATTTACAAAGAGAAATCCCAGTAATAGATTTACATCGGCATACATAACATTCTTACATACACAAGTGATGCTAAATCAGCATATAGTAAAACGAAAACTGTGAAGACAGGGTAAATAATATAAACAATACCAGCAAATCCATGGGGAGAGATTCAAGCCGGGACTCCGACACGCAATCTTCAGTTCGAGGGGTCTTTGGAGTTTTCAACAAACTATTCTGTCTAACCAAATTCACAGGCGACAACATCAAAGGGCTTTTATCAATAGCCCTATCCTCAAGCACCATATCGCCCTTAACCTTCTTGGTCTCCAAGACAGCCACCCGCTTCCTCCCAAGATCGGTGCACGACTTAGCTGAAGAGGTCTTGCTATGCTTAAGCTGAGCAAGAGCACCCGGCTTCAGATACTTGTTACCTGAGCCTCGTCGCTTTTTCTGTTTGGCCTTCTTCGAATTCCTTTCTTTTGGAGACACTTTTCCCATTTTCCCCTCTTTTTATTCAGCCCCAAATTATTTCGAACAATTCCTCAATTTTCCCAAATAAAATAAATCTTCAATTACTTTGTTCAATCAGAAAACCTAGCAACCGCGGCTATTAAACCTGAAACAGACAATTTCAATCTTAGCTATAGCCCTAATATAAATATAATCTAAAAAATTCAAAAACAAAAGCAGCGAAGAAATTGGTTACTATACATTAATATGTGGCGAGCTTTACCTTTTTAGGGTTAGAGATCGTCTCGATTCCTCGTTCAATTTTCCCCTCTGTAACAAAAACCACAACCGAAAACTCATCAGAAACCCTAGATTACCAGGCTTGGAACTAACAGATAGCTACTAGCTGCCCGAAACAAGAACGAAAGCACAGAAAATTATACAAAAATTCAAACCTTCAATCAAAACGAAAGCGAAAGGCAGAGAAGCACGAGCATCGTAGTGACAGAAATTCCAGAGAAAATCCAAAAATAAAAATAAATAAAAATAGGTAGCAGTGCAAACAGAAGGACAGAGAAGGAGAGAGAGAGAGATGGGGCCGCTAGGGTTTACTCTTGATTTGAAATTGATACAAATGCCCGCCAAAGTTTTTCCAGCAAACAGTTGCTGAGGCTACAAAACAAAAACCATATAAATAATCTAGCTGGCCACCACGTGGCGGCCTCTGAATGGCGAGGTGATTAACTCTCGGAGAGGAGTGGGCCAGTGGATGTCTTTAGTGCTTAGGTCACTGGGCCACATCGGACGGCGCAGATTGCGTGATGGGTACGGATATTGGACTTGTTTCCTAATCGGGTGGAGTTTTTGTTTAATTTGAAAATAATGTTTGGAGGGAAATAAAAAAATGTGCTCGATGACTAATCTACCCTCATTGTTTGGTTTAACTTCTAGCTTAATGGAGGGTATTTTGGGGGATATTGGTTTGTGTGAAAGGCGGTGCTTTAGGAACCTCGATTCTTGTGAGAGCTGGGGACGTGGGCCCATATCAGGCCCATCTTATGATGGATTCAATTCGGTGAATGTACATAATCGACCCTTTATGGCAGCATTAACCACGCGTGACTGCCGCTTCTCTGTGTTTTAACTTGGAGGGCATAGCAGTCAATGCAAGTTCAAATTTTCCATAGCCTAACCATGGTAAAATGGTAACCTGGTGAACAATTAATTTTATTTTCCAGGGTCAAAGTTTTCTTATTTGGGCTGGACCCAGCTATGTTTAGCATGTTTGAATTCTTCAAAATACTCCTGGGCCCAGCTAACTTTCTTTTTAGGGTACAACCTTGTTAAACATGGCCCAGTGCATGATGATTCGAAAACTTCCAAAACGGGCGTCATAACTTATTCGGCCTTTCTAAAAAAATTTAAGTAGTCAGACGGGAAGGTTCTATAATGAGGGTCTATATTGACGGGTTACAATGAGGGCGTTCAATTCAATAGTCCAATAATAACTCTGCACTGGATTGGATGGCTATTAAGGACCTCCTCATTATAGCCTCTTTGAGTCATACGTATACTTTTTCATCTTATGACAATCTCATCACGTCACTCATCTGGCAACGAAACCTGCAAATGTAGGTTAGGTTAGGTGGTCAAGGCAATGAGCACACCATCTTTCTTTCACCCAATTTGAGTCCTTATTTAGTTTAAACAATCGTTTATATGACGAACCTCTTGCAGTAAGAATAAATTATCTTTTCATTAGGTTTGGTTTGGATTGGAGTTTGGAGTAGGTATGTAGTCTTGCATCAACCAACGCTGCGGCACTTATTTGTACGCATAGAAAAACCAACCATGTTATAGAACTCAGTTATTTGAATATTGATGGAACTTTTGGCCACCATGATTGATTATCAATGATGATTTTCACATAAAATGATCTCATGATGGTCTCCGATCCAAATTTTCCTTGCATGCGTTTTATCCTCAATTCCTACCACGGCATCAATCTGAGCAGGCCAATAAAGCGCATATGGTCTACCAATCACAAGATTCTAGGAAGCAAAGCTTTCAAGGATGGAATGAATTGTACGACAAGATTACAAAAATATAATAAATAAAAACTTATGTTGAAGATCAGTCTAAATTGATTAGATAAAAATTTGATAAAAATAATAGGAAAATGTTCGATTAAGGATTATATACATATACAGTCTTCTTCTATTGAGAGTACTCAATGGAAGCTCTCTCTCTCTAAATATATATATATATATACATAAGGGATAACAAGTGAGGAGGAAATCGAACTTAAGAGCTCATGTGCATGGACTCTTAACCAATCGAGCTACAAGCTCCTTGCTCCATTAAGGATGTTAAGAATTTATAATATAAAGCATTGAGTTGCACCAACAATAAACCCAAAAAACTATAGAATGTACTTTACTGCCACCACCAAACCAAATTATAGACAGAAAAATATCTTCTTAATTTTCTTGAAAAATCACAATTAAAACCACAGTTCCCCTACATGTTGGAGTCAGAAAATATAAAATTATGAACAGAGCTGACGATTAAACCCACGTTGCGAACCTCCACAGGTGGGCTGCTTGAAGTATGCATATTTCTTGTCCACTAGAGTTTTTGTATTTTCACTAGACTTGTTGCTTCATGTATGGATCCAAAACCAAAAGCACTTTCTATGTAGAATTTTTCATTCCCAAAAATTTTGTTCTAAAATTACATCTAGAGAGAGAGAGTGAGTGAGAGAGAAAGCTGAAATTTCCATTGATGATCAAGACAACTAGTCTCGAACGCGCGACTATACTCTTTAAATATATACAAATTGTTTAAAATTATTTCCATATTCCAATTATGTGTTTCTTCCATTTTTGCTTTTTCCCAAATATTTAAAAATTATATCAACACGGCAATACTTCTGAAATATTCTATTTATATATTAAATCTCATAACACATCGAATTGATGACTAAGAGTATAAGTCTTAATATTTAACTTACAATTCTTAAAATTCTTAATGTTAAATATGGCTATGGGGTCTAACTAAGTTGAAAATGGCTTTGACTTGCAGACTAACGGTCTCATATTTGAATCCCCATGCACTGTGGTTTGTAAAAAAAACCCCCCTCCTCTATAAAATAAAAAGTGTTACATTCTATTACGTGCTAACCCATTTGGTATAAATTAGTTCACACCACCTCAATAAAAATTGGCCGACGTCACCTCACCAACTCAACTATGAAGAGAAAGCTAGTTAATCATTCACATGTAATAGATCGAAACAAAATATAGACCGCCCTTTCAATTTTTTGATTCCCTCCTTCAACACAATGAAGTTTAAACAAGTTTTTGTAGTAGTAATCTTGAACTTTTAATGTCTCTTTCGTTGTGATTCATCGTTTTAAATTTGTCACTTTCTATAATTTAAGGGGGAATATTGGCTTCGACTTTTTGTTAAAGGAAAAAACAAATTACAAAAATTGAAAGAGATTCCTTAAAAGCTATTACAAATTAATTGGGATAACATTGCTTGTAGGACAATGCACCAACAAAAATGAAAGGCGTGTTCTAGCCTCAGAGAAAGGACCACTTATGAGAAGGTGGGTTTATAGCTTGAATGAATACAAACAGATTGGGTAGGGGCATTGACACTATCGTTTTTAGGTACGCACCAACAAAGAGCTCTATCAAATGATGTCAATTTGCCATTGGGCTTCCTTGCCTTTCGGGCACGTAATTGTCAATGTTTCTGACCAGCCAGCCATAAAATATAAGACACCAAAATTATAAATGGAAAGGTAGTTGCTCACCTTTTCTTATTTTATTTTCCAATTTAGCACTTGGGTTTCTTAAACAGAAATTGATTAGGCCATAATATTTTGGCCATGTTACTCCAATCATTCATTTTCCAATGGGTCACATCCTCGGGTAAATGGGGTAAATGCAAAAGTTGACAACCAAGTAGCAACAATCACCTCTTTTCATATTCCTTTTTTTATATTATTTTTATTTTTGACTTTTACCCCCTTGTCCCCAATATTCAATTAGACAGACGGACAGTACAGAGATTCGTCCATCTATATTGTATTATATATGTCAAGCTGGAGTTTTAAACACCCAAAAAGAAGAGATTACGAAGCTTTTTTTCTCGTGACTCTCTTTGAATATGGAAGCCAAATTGATTTTCTTTTTGTTCAATTGTAGTGCGAACTGATTGGAAAGCAATACAATAACAAAAAAGTGTCACATGATAAGTTAACGTGTTGTTATTAACCGTATCACGATTTATGTATAGTTAAAATCATCTATAAGTAGCTAATTACTGCTTATTTTATTTTCGGCCGGCCGAAATTTAAAGAAAACACAATTAGCAGCATTCAGATTTTTGTTTTGTAATGTGTTACATACATATATATGATCAAACACTTGACAAGGACAATGAGTAGTAGGTCAATGGAAGCTAGGTATGTGCCAATTGCAACCTCCTTCCTCCACAAAATTAGAAGATAGAATAAAGAAAGAAAATTGGGTCACATTCACAGCACTTAAAAGGGTTCAAACTTTCTGTACCATTTCACAGAAATTTTTACTCCAAAAGGCCAAAGGTATAGAATTTAAAAATAATAATAATGATTCTGATATTGTTGTTGTCACACACAGCCTGTACATTTGTGCCAGCCAAACTTTTGTACCTTCTTTTAAACCTAGACATTTAATTTTAGGTTCACCTATATATTAAAAAATACAATGTTAATGTTATAGTACATAATTTTCAGGTATTTTTTTAAATATAGTGGGCAGCGCAGCACCCAACTTGTATTTTAATGGAAACTTTGTCCCGAACCATTGAGAATGAATTGCTTAGCTACTGTTTTAAGTGACCTACTTCTCACTCTAGGCCTTTGTGGTGGGCATGTCTTTATCCTTTTTAATATTGCCTAATTTTAGCCCACCATATCACATGCTTACCGTCACGCTATCAATAAAATACACTATACACATGTGTAAGGCAAGCCTGTGGTTTTGTCATTGCCTTCCCAAGGTTAACAATGGTACTCAACTTCCAAGGTTTAAAATATTCAATTAAGCTAGTTTAATTATGTTAGACGGATTTGTTTATTTTGAAGTCCCGTTTAGTTTATGAGAAAAGAGGCTTAAAGATGAGAAATTAATTGTTTTCCCCAGTTTGATAAGTTTATGCATGAAAAATGGTTGTCTGACCAGTATACTTTCCTTCTTGTTGGAAAATTTGGAAAAATAAACAACATTGAAAGTGCTTGTGACAGTCAATGGGGTTTTAGCCCTTTTATAAGCAGTCTCAAAACATATCCACAAAATTTGACATGTTTCTAAGCAAAACACGTCATTAGAGAAACAGTCCCAAACCAATTATAAAGTTGCCGGCGTACGCTTCTAGGATACACATGTTGTGCATAGGTATCGATAACAACCCGTGAACCAAAGAATCGAAGGTGCCTGCTAAATATTATATATATGCGTTCGGATGAAGAACAGATAAGACACAATTAGCACAAAATAATATGTGTTATCGGACAAAATTCTGATGATTTGTAAATTCA